GTTGATTTGCATGAGTACTTTATATATTTAGGATATTAACCCCTCCTCAGATGTATCATTGGAAAATATGCTCTCCCAAATAGTGAGTTCTCTTTTCATGTTGATGCTGATTTCTTTTGCTGTGCAGCTTTTTATTTTGATGTACTCCCATTTGTTTATTTTCCCCTTGTTTGCCTCTTAAAAAATCACACACACATTAGCAACAGGCATAATTTATTGAATAGTATCTGAGCATTCTTCTTACATTCAATCAAAGGTCATATCATTAAAGGACTTCCTTCCCTTTTTTTTTCTTCTTTTCTCTTCTCACTTAATTTTCTCTACCTGTGTCTCCTTAATTCTTTGCAATGAAATCTACTGAGGAGCTACTTTTGCAGGCTTAGGCTTATTCGGATCTTAAGCCAATCTCAGTTGAGGCAGCCTGAAAATCCCATTTCTCTTGTGCTAGGTGTTGTATCAGTGAAAATTTTGCTACATGAGATGTCTGATATTTTGTTGCCTATGTTTTCTTCAATGATTTTTATGGTGTCATGACTTACATTTAAGTCTTTTATCCATTTTGAGTTAAATGATTTTTTAATTAAAAAAAAAAAGAAACCCACACCTAAAAATATTTTCCTACACTAGGTTGTTTCCAACTAATCTTGATTCCGAGGTTTAAAGCTTATGAAATAAGATTGTTAAATCAAGGACCAAATAGTCAGTTGACAAATAGTCAATCAGTATTTTCTTTTTTTTTAAATATATTTTTTATTGATTTTTTACAGAGAGGAAGGGAGAGGGATAGAGAGTTAGAAACATCGATGAGAGAGAAACATCGATCAGCTGCCTCCTGCACACTCCCTACTGGGTATGTGCCCGCAACCAAGGTATATGTCCTTGGCCGGAATCAAACCTGGGACCCTTAAGACCACAGGCCTACGCTCTATCCACTGAGCCAAACCGGTTAGGGCCAATCAGTATTTTCATTGGTGTTGTTTGCTAGGTCATGCTCTGTTTAGGGCTGAAGTTTGGAGAAGTTTCAGAGATAGCCGGACTCAGTCAAAAGAACCCATATATGCCAAGGTCTAAACTTCCCTGAGTTCATTCAGTAAATCAGACATGGGCTCAGAGAGAAATGGTTTCACATTTCACACTGGGACACCCTAGTGTTTAGAAAAAACAAAAAACAAAAACATCTTATTTCCCTGTTTCATCCCTGAAAACTTTTATCAGGAAACCTACTCTGCTGTGCCAGATAAATGGGAGGAGTCTCATTGCAATAAATGTTTGCCCTTGCAACTTCCCAATCCAAGCAGAATGCTGCTCTACTAAGTAGGTCCAGATTTTCAGCATGCTGGGATTAGAGCCTTTTAATAGCAGAGACTGGATGGTGAATATGCCACCATGAATTAGTTCCATTCATTCAACAGTGGTTAGTGCCTTCTTGTTTGAGAGATGTGGCCCTAAGTGCCAAATAAAAGGACTCTTAAAAAGACAACAAAAACAAACATTGGCCCCCTGCTCAGCAGGAAGTAAAGCTTGCTTGGGGAACTAGTTAATGAGAGCCCCTCCCTATTTGGAGAAGAACATTTAAGTAAAGCTTGAACTAGCACCTTCAGCCTTAGCTGGTTTGGCTCAATAGATAGAGCATCTGCCTGTGGACTAAAGGGTCCCCAGTTTGATTCCTGTCAAGAGCACATGCCCTGGTTGCAGGCTCCATCCTCAGTAGGGGGTACGCAGGAGGCAGCTTATCAATGATACTCTCTCATCATTGATGTTTCTATCTCTCCCTTCCTCTTTGAAATTAAAAAATATTTTAAAAAATAGCCCTAGCCTGTTTGACTCAGTGGATAGAGCGTTGCCCTGCGGACCGAAGTGTCCTGGGACCGAAGGGTCCCGGGACTGAAGAGTCCCGTGTTCGATTCCGGTCAAGGGCACTACCTGGGTTGCAGGCTCCTCCCTGGTCCCTGGCCCTGGTCCAGGCACGTGCAGGAAGCAACTAATTGACTTGTTTCTCTCACAGTGATGTTTTTCTCTGTCTTTCCCTCTCTCTTCCACTCTCTCTAAAAATCAATGGAAAAATATCCTCGGCGTGAGGATTAAAAATAATAACAACAACACCTTCTGAGTGCAGACCCTGATTCTTTTTTTAATATATTTTTATTTAGTTCAGAGAGAGAGAGAGACAGAGACAGAGAGAGACATCAATGATAAGAGAGAATCATTGACTGGCTGCCTCCTGCACGCCCCCCACTGGAGATCCAGCTGCAACCTGGACATATGCCCTTGACCAAAATCGAACCTGGGACCTTGCAGTCCCCAGGCTGACACTGTATCCACTGAGCCAAACCACTCAGGGGCAGACCTTGATTCTTATGCTCCACTCCCCCAGTCATGGTAACTACCAAAGATTTCAGAGTGTGGGAGGACTGTTGGCTTTGACTGTTGAAGGCACACCTGGCCGCCAGGGTGGGAGTTCTGAGGCAAGAGGCATGGCCATGAAATCAGCTTGCAGCGAAGTCAGTGTTGTTGTTCACCATTTTGCACTCCCCATCGCGCAGGTGAAAGCTCGGCAGGAAATGGCAACCCGGAGACACATACTCACCAATGATTTCAGGAGGTTCCTATGTCAGAATGTCAGGTCTTGGAATGGAAGGAATTTTCCCAAAAGCACGTGGCACCTGAGAGCAAACGCTCACCTACAACTGTGGCAGCGCTCAGTTCTAGCAAAATGGTGTCCATTGTGCCGCCCCTGCCAATCTGGCCCTGCAACTCTGCACCAAAAGCTGCACCAGCGCTTGGGACTCACACTGCTGAGCCCCAAACCCAGGCTGGGTCCCAGCACCAGCAGATTATCTGCGTCTCAGCTCCAGGAGCGACTGCGTCCAGGATCCGACACACTGATCCCTGACCCTCCTTTGCTGCACTCTTTCCCCCTCCTCCCCGCGCCCTGCCGCTGTACCCAAGGGCGCACCTGGTTCTAGGGAACAGTTGTTCCACATCTGGCTCCTGCAGCCCTGCCAGTGCAGCCCTCCCATCTCCCATTTATTCCCTCGGGGCAGCGGCGCTCCATCACTTAAGACGGAGGAAAGTTTAAAAAGGGCATCTTGGAAGTTGGGTGTCCCCGCGCACGGAGGCCACCCACCTGGGAGGAGAGATGTGGAGCGAGGCAGGTGTGTCACAGGAATCGCTGCGGATCCTGGAGAGTGCGGACTAGTGTGAGGACTGCGGCTTTGGTCCCTCACAGCACATGTAGGGCTAGTTTCTCTCTGCCTCGAAACTGCCTAGATGGGGGTCTTTGCCTGTCCCCCAATAGCCCCGGGCACTTTTGCCGCGTTTGCCACCTTTGCCGCATTGGGAAACTCCATTAGCTCTAGTGCATCGCGTGCCGCGCGCTCAGACCTGGGGATCCGGGAGACAGTGGGGAGTTCCTGGGGGTCTTGGGGACGGTGAGAAGGTTCTCTCTCTGCATGTTACCCGCTGAGAGCAGCAACTCAGGAGCGAGCAGGGACCTTCCAGGCGGGCTTGCCGCAAATAAAGCTCAGGGGACGGGGTCCTGCAACCAGCTGTACCCGGTGTGAGCGGGTCTAGGTGTTGTGGAGTCCGCTTATTCTTGCGAGTGCAGGTAGTGATGGTGCGCACAGGCTGCTGGCAGCCGGTATGTAAAGGTGTCCACAGGAGACACTGGGAGGCAGGCTTGGGGCAGACTGAGTGAAGCCGGGCACATGGCCCCGGGTGCTGTCCCCGTGTCCCTTTTGCCAGTGCCATTGTTTGGGGAAGTGGGCTTATGTTTGAAGAGAGGAATGGGTTTGTGGGAGGGGACGCGTGTGGCTGGAAGTGACAGTGAGCAATTGTCTCTGCAGGGATTCCCGTCAAGCCTGCCATGCTCTCTATTGGAGAACTGAAGTGCAGGGAATGCGCGTGTACATTTGGCATGCGCGTGCAAGTCCGGAATGCGCGCGCACGTTCATATGTATGTGCCCGTCATGGATGTGTGTACAGTTGCAGTATGTGTGCGCAGGTCCCTTATGCGGAGGCAGGTCCGGAATTGCACGCCAATGGGGCACCTTGGCAAACAGCTGCCGGAAACAGGGGCAGCTGGGCAAATGGTCCTAACAGGCAGATGAGCAAAGGTGATGGATGGCGGGGTGGCAGAGGAGATTGCTGGGGCTGCTTGGCAGCTGGGGGAACATGGGTGCCTTGTACCTCCCTGCTGTGGCTGAGCGGGACATTGGTTGCCTTCTATCCACTTGAAGGACCACCCAGGGCAAATAAGGACTTCTGGTCAGTAGGTGGGTAATCACCATCTTAAGGAATCCCAGATGTGAGCCACGGAGCCCTTCCAGATCCCTACCTAGCTGGGAGCAGGCTCAGGCAAATTACTAATAACCACATTCCTTGATGACATTGGGCCCCCATTTTAAAGATGAGTGCATCGAGGCACTGAGAAGTCACTTGTCCTTAATCTTACCGCTCAGCCGGAATTGAATTCAGGCTGACAAAGTTCTTGCTCCCACAAGCTGCCCTACTTGCAGGTGATTCCAGCTGCCGGGATTAAACATCTTGCTGGGACCCAGAACCAAACCTGTAACGCATTAACCCTCTCACCCTCACTTGGATGAGGCTTGAAAGTCAGACTTGGGGGAGCCAGGCGTCCCTGTGATCCTGGACTCTGCCCTACAAGACTGCACCGCCGGGGATGGCGTGGGCTGCACATTCAAAACCGGATGCAACTGAACAGGTGAAATTTACAATGACGTCAAACTGTCCCCCAGTTCGTGGGTGTTTTCTGGTGCCCATCACTCCCCCTTCTTTCCATCAGTGACCTCAATGCAAATACGAGTGGGATGATCCTGATGGATGCTACAGGTTCTGGACGCAAGTGGGTGACACAATCCGTCTGAGGCACCGGATCCTTCTCCTCATTGGTTGCCCGGTGCTCCTGGATTTCCCCTCCCCAGACCCAGAGCGGGAATAAGAGGAGCCGCTGGTGCTGGGAGAAAGCGGAGCGACTTCCCAGTTGGAGTGTCACTGCCACTTCCACGGAACACCTCCACTGCCGCTACCGCCACCTGCCGCCGCCTCCACCTGCTGCCAGGTGAGTCCCCAAACTCCTGCTGTGGTGTTTGATTCTCTCTCTTCCTCTCTCCCCTTCCCTCTCTCTCCATTACTGTACCTCTTGGTCGATCCCCTGCCAGTCTCAAAGTCTCTCTCCACTTCTGTCTGGGTCTTTTTATCACACAATTTGTGTTAGTCTTTGCTTTATCCAGGTAATGCTGTGTCCAGGGACTCTGTGCTCCACTCTTCCCGTGCAGATCGGCTCTGGTCTAGCTGTGTTGCTGCAGCTGGAGTGTGCTTAGTCTCATCTCTGACGCTGGAGTTGGACTCCTGAAGAGCAGGATGCAGGAATAACTTTCTGGTCATGCCTAGTGGCTCCAGGGAAATTGGTTCGGAACCTGGGTCAGTGTGAGGGGTGGCAAATAGGCGCAAGGGCAGTTTGAGTCCTGCAGCGTCCCAATTTAACTCTCTGTTAAGCTTGGGGACTGCCGAAGTGTGGATCGGCTGAGCAGTAAAATGTGATTTTCAGTTTCTCAGGGATTTCAATTGCAGATATTTCCTTTCTACCTACACTCTCCCTCAACATCCCCTCACAGCCCTAAGCGTGAGCTCAGATCTGTGGGTTCATAAAACTTCAAACTGGTGGAGATGCTGACATGATTCTTCCTTTGCAGAGAGGCATCATGGGCTTTGGAAAATTCTTACCCTTCCTGGCTCTTGGCTTCTTGGTCCTGTACCAGGTGGGCATGATCCAGGCAGCACCATTCAGGTAAGACAGCCCTGAAAATAGCACACTCTCCCCGCAGTGCCCCTGGGATCAAACAATTCTGTGATCTGAATTGTGGTGTGCTGAAAGGAGGGGGGGGGTGGGCAGGGGGGGGGCACACACCAAGAGGAGGGTATATTTTTTTCTGATATAAAGAATATCTGATATTCTTCATTGTAATGATATCTGATATTCTTTATTATAAATTTCATAGAATTCATTCAGTCTCATAGAATGATTTTGTTGGTTTTTACCAAAATTTTTATTTTGCTAATTCAACCAGGATCTCAGAAATGAATTGTATTCTAATCTACCTTTTTGGCCAATAAATTCATAGTTATGAAATCAATGTGAGCTGTTAATCTTTCTTACTCTTGTACAAATTTTATTCAATCAACTGGAACCATTTTTAGCTTTAGCACTACCTGTAAGTTTTCTCATTTAATTTTTAATATTGGCTATATGCAAAAGGATGGTCACAAAATTTCTGAAAAGTCCATCTTTCACAAGCCTACATGATCTGGATTCAGCACAGCACTGCTTGGAGGTCACACCAGTGCCTGGCTCCTGATGAGTCATGCCCTGTCCACTGGGAGCTGAGGTGGCCACTTCCTTAGGGGAAACCTAAGAACCAGGAATCCTGGGGAGGGGGCAGGAAGGACTCATAGCTTGTATTGGGCGTGCTATTTCTCCTCAGGTCTGCCGTGGAGGACAGCTCACTCAGTGAGGAGGAAGAGGACCTCCTTCTGGCTATCCTGGTGAAGGAGTTTATGAAGAAGATGGCCAGTGAGAAGGAGCAGGCTGCACTGGATTCCAGGTAAGGCTCCACACCTGCCCAGTAAGAACAGCTGTGCTAAGGAGAAGGCAAACACCTCCAGAAATCAGTGTTATAAACTCTCCATGAGGAGGTATCATGGCATTTTCCCAAATGGCCAATGATTATCTGCTGCGATAATTGTGTTCAACACAATTGAACACACTTAAGAGCAACACTTTAGGTTCACTGGTACCTTTCAGAACAGTAATGATTGCCCCAAGGGAAGGCTTTGCCCCCACAAGCCTCTGACTGACAGGTCTTCTGTTTTTCTCCATCATATAAATCAGCTTCACTAGCCAGAAGAGATCCTGCAACACTGGCACCTGCCTGAACAATAAGCTTGCTGTGCTCTTGAGCAAGTCTGGAAGTGCTGCCCACGCCAAGGTGCTGCCCGCTACCATGTTCTCCCAGGGCTAAGGCCAAAGGAAGGGACCCCAGGAAGAAGGTGACTACTCTTGTATGGTTAGATGGGGGGGTGGGTGACTGGATATTACAGGGGTGCAGGCCACACTCTAACCTCCTTGGGCCCATGTGAGTGAAAAATCAACAAGGGAAAGTATCTAGAGAAGGACAGAGCGTCCCCACAGATGAAACCCGTAGATTTGGGGTTTATTTCTGCTTTTTGTTGTTGTTTTGTTTTGTTTTGGTCCAGTGTTTCCCTATGACACTTGAATCATCCGTCAGGAAATATAGATGTTAATAACCTCACAAGTAATAAGTAACTAAATTCTAACTTCTGTGTTTTTTTTTCCTCCTAGATGATGGAAGCTGAACCCTACCCACTTCTTTAAGTTTATCATAAAAACAATTGGAGAAATACATGATAAACACACATGTGCATGCTACTTAACATTGAAAAGACTCTGTCTTATTCAAAATAAATTAAATTTAACTG